TATATAATATATAATCTATAATCCATATAACAAATAATATATAATATATAATATATAATATATAATATATAATATATAATATGTAGTATATAATATGTAACATATAACAAATAATATATAATATATAAAACACAAAATATAATATACATAATATGTAAAAGGCAATGTATAATAATGCATTATATATAGTAAATATATAAAATAAATAACAAAGCATGTGTATATATAACAATATAATATATATATATATATTAGGGTTTAAGGGTTTAGACGCACTTGGGTGTCTTTCGCTGCACAGATAGCTGCCTGCTGTGTCTGCTGCTGCTGCTGCTGCTGCTGCTGCTGCTGCTGCTGCAGCTGCTGCCGATGATGGGCTTCCATAGCCAGCATCTGCAGCTGGCCCACGCACTGCCGCATATCGCCGCCTGAACGCCCAAACCCTAAACCCTAAACCCTAAACCCTAAACCCTAAACCCTAATCCTCAAAGGTAACAACACCAAACTCTCCAACAACAATTCAAAGCCATAGGCGAGCCGACACCCACAAACCCTCATAAACCCTCATAAACCCTCATTAACCCTCATCAACCCTAATAAACCCTCATTAACCCTCATAAACCCTAATAAACCCTCATTAACCCTCAGACACCATACTAAACCCTAATAAACCCTCATAAGCCCCACTAAACCCTAAACCCTCAGCGTGGTTTACCTGAAGCCTCCGCAATTCGAGTGAGGGTTTCATCGGAGACAATTAATTTTTCTGCATTTGCTATTTGCTGCATCCGCACTTTTAAGTCTCTTAATGAGGGTTTGTCAAAACGCAGGTCTAAACAACGAGTGGCCAAAGTGCGCACCTGCAAACCACAAACCCTAAACCCTAAACCCTAAACCCTGCAGCGTCTTTAGGCTCCTGTGGCGTAAGGAGTACGCTCTAGCTTCTTCTGTTATGAAAACCCTAGACCCTTAACCCTAAACCCTAAACGCATTCGCAGAGGCTGTTGGTTTGGAAAGCGTGACGAGTGTGTTTTTGTTCACCTTAGGGTTTAGGGTTTAGGGTTTAGGGTTTAGGGTTTAGGGTTTACCTTGGTACTCATGCGGTCGTTGCAGATGCAAATGATAGGCACATTTGTTTTATCAATTAATTTTATCATTGCTTGAGAGCCTCCTCTGTCTCCTGCACTTAGCCCATCAACTTCATCAAAGAGGAGACACGGCAGCTGTCCCTCCGCTGCTGCTGCTGCTGCTGCTCCTGCTGCTGCTGCTGCTCCTGCTGCTGCTGCTGGTTTTGTTTTATCCAGACGAAAGAAATCAACCGTCACGCCCCCAGATACAATACTCTCCAAGTCTGTGGTAACAACACACACGCAAGGGTTTAGGGTTTAGGGTTTAGGGTTTAGGGTTTAGGGTTTAGCCTTCTGTTGCATGCAGCCTTGAGGTGTACGTACACCTTGGTCAAACCACACAACAGCAACAAAAACAACCAAAAGAAATACCCCGCCTTAAATGCATAATAAAATAAAATAATATCAAAGACAAAGTTAATAAATAAACAAAACGATAAAAAAGATTAGTGAAGATATGCGTAAATATACAAATAGAGATGTGCAAGCAAACAAAAATAAATAAATAAATAAATAAATAAATAAATAAATAAATAAATAAATAAATAAATAAATAAATAGAGAGATAGATACACAAATGTATGTTCTCATATAAATATACAAATATATAAAGCATATACATATATAAAGTATATAAAGCGATATAAATATATAAATATATATACGCATTTATATACATATATATATGTATATATATAATATATATATGTATATACATATATATGTAATATAAATAAAATATATATAAATATATAACTAAACAGATACAAAGACATCGATATAGAAAAGCAATAAATTTGTTTTTTTGCTGGGGTTCAATAACAATAAGCCACTGCATATATATATATATATATATATATAT